CCCCCCGCTCCCCCTCGGCTCCACGTCACTGGGCTGTGTCTCCACTTTGGGCTCCCGTGGGGGCTGGAAGGTGCCAAGGGGCTCTGCCCACTGCCCCGAGCAAAGGGACAAGGCTGAGACATTTCGGAGGGAGAGGTCCTGTCCCTGCCTCCAGCCCAGCTGTGTGCTGGAGGCATAGGGAAAGTGAGGCACAGCCCAGCCACGTTTTCCCGGAAGGGCAACTGTCGTCTCCCGCCTCCCACTCTGCTCCCTCTGAGGATTTTGCTGGGAACTTAAGATGCGCTGGCCCCACAGGTGTGGCTCAGCCATGGCCTCCAAACGCCACGCACCCCCCCCGAAGCAGCCAGACGGCGGGGGCAAGAAAGTGAAGGGGGGAGAGGAGGATGACGCCTGGAGCTCCACCTTGGCAGCCCTGAAAACTGCCCCCAAGGAGAAGCCCCCTGCCACCATCGATGGGCTGTGCCCCCTGAGCAAGACACCGGGCGCCCGGGTGAGCGCAGGGCCGGGGGGTATGCAGAGGGGATGGGATGGGGGGACGTGGGCATGGGATGGGGAGAATCCCAGGGCAGCCCCCACCCTGCTGACACAGGGGCAGCACCAATTTTCCTTGCAGACCCCACTGCGTCCCCGCTGGGACAGCTCTGCACGCCCCCCCATCCCCAAACGCTGCCCAGGTGCCAGCCCGAGCCGTGCTGCTCGCTGCAGGTCTATGAGGACTATGACTGCACCCTGAACCAGACCAACATCAGCGCCAACAACAACAAGTTCTACATCATCCAGCTCCTTGAGCATGATGGTGCCTACAGCGTCTGGAACCGCTGGGGCCGCGTGGTGAGTCGTAGAATCATAGAATGATAGAATCATTTAGGTTGGAAAAGACCTTTAAGATCATCAAGTCCAACCATTAACCTAGCACTGCCAAGTCCACCACTAAACCATATCCCTAAGCACCACATCTACCTGTCTCCTAAATACCTCCAGGGATGGGGACTCAACCACTTCCCTGGGCAGCCTGTTCCAGTGCCTGACTACCCTTTCGGTGAAGAAATTTTCCCTCATATCCAATCTAAACCTCCCCTGGCACAGCTTAAGGCCATTTCCTCTTGTCCTACCACTTGTTACTTGGGGGAAGAGACTGACCCCCACCTCACTACAACCTCCTTTCAGGTAGTTGTA